TGTCCTCATCAAACACTCCCAGGACAGGGACAATACAGGGTTAGATACAGCGTAAAGCTCTCTCTACCATGTAATCAACAAACACTCCAGAAGATGTACAGCATGGGGTTAGCTATAGACTAAAGCTCTCTCTGCACTGTTCCCCATCAAATAGTCCCAGGACAGGGACTGCACGGAATTAGATACAGAGTAAAGCGACATTGGTTAAGTATAGTAGCATGGAACAAGGATGTCTTACTGCAATTATTCAGGCATTGGTGAGGCCACACCTGGAATATTGTGTACAGTTTTGGTCTCCTTATCTCAGGAATGATGTTTTTCCTTTAAGGGAGTACGGGGAACGTTTATCAAATTGATTCCTAGGATGGAAGCACTGATGTATGAGGAAAGATTGAGTAACCTTGGATTGTATTCACTGGAGCTCAGAAGAATAGTTGAAAGGGGAGGCGGGGGTGGGAATCTCATTGAAACCTTTAAAATTCTCACAGGTCTGGACAGGCTAGATACATGAGAGTGTTTTTGATGGCGGGGGAGTCCAGAACAAGAGGTGATCGGTTAAGGATAAGGAATTAAGCTTTTATGACGGATGAGGAGAAAGTTCTTCACCCAGAGAGTGGTGGGCCTCTGGAATTCATGACCACAGAAAGTGGTTGAGACCAAAACATGAGACAACAAGGTGTAGAGCTGGATGAACACAGCAGGCCAAGCAGCATCAGGGGAGCAGGAAAGCTGACGTTTTGGGTCTAGGCCAAAACATTATGTGTTTTCAAGAAGGAGGTAGGTATAGCTGCTGTTGTCAAGGAGATCAAGGAACACTGGGGAAGGTGGGACCAGGGTATTAACCTCAATGATCAGCCATGTTTACTTAACATAATTGATATTTCTCCGGATGTACCTGTTCCTCCAGTCTGCTTTAGATATAAAGTAAATATTAATTGAGGGTAATTAGATAAGAAGTAGATCTTATTTGGAGAAAATCAGCTATAAATTAAATATGAATTGGAGAAAATTACATATAAAGTTGCTATTACATATAAAGTCGCTATTATTGAGATTATTAGATATTAAATAAGTATTAATTGGATATAATTAGATATGAAGTAAATATTATTTGGAGTTTCTTAGATATGACAAATTACAATTTGATATTATTAGATATGATGTAGATATTAAATCAAGATAATTAGGTATGAAGTAGATATTAATATGAATTATTGGAGATGAAGTAAATATTAATTGCAGATAATTAGATATGAAGCAGGTATTAATTAGAGATTATTTTAGAGATAATTAGAGATGATGTAAATTTTAATTGCAGATTATTATATACGAAGCAGGTATTAATTGGAGATTATTAGATATGAAGTAAATATTATTTGGAGATAATTAATGATCAAGTAAATATTAATTAGGGATTATTAGATATAAAGCAGATATTAATTGGGGATTATTAAAGATGTAGCAGGTATTAATTGGAGCTAATTAGATTTAAAAAGCAGGTATTATTTGGAGATAATTAGAGGTTAACTAAATATTAATTAGGGATTATTAGAGATGAAGAAGATATTAATTGAAGATCATTAGAGATGAAGCAGATATTAATTGGAGATAATTAGAGATGAAGTAAATATTAATTGGAGATTATTAAGGGTTCTCCCGGCTCTGCAGCCTGTTTAATGGGCATTGCCTGATGTCCCAGCCTGGACCGGCTCCAAATGGGAGCCCGGCCTGTTCTGGGCTGCGGGGATCAACCCAATTCGGGCCCATCTCCATGGTAACGGCCCGACCCGGGTCCTACCTCCATAGCAACGCCGCGCGCTCCCGCCGCCGTTGGCGGGGCAACCAGCGGTAACCAGGGGGCGGAGCCTCGTTACCGGGGCGGGGCCGTGACTGTCCCAGCCAATCAGCACTGCCGAAATGACGTCAGCCCATGTGAGTCATTATGGGGGTTGGGGGTGGGTTTTGGAGGGGCTGAGGGTTTTAGAGGAGGGATGGATGGGTTGAGGGTTGGAGGGGAGGATGGATCGAGGGGCTGAGGGCTTTAGAGGAGAGTTGGAGGGGAGGAGGTATGGAGGGGCTGAGGGTCAGAGAGGAGGATGGATGGAAGGGCTGAGGGTCAGAGAGGATGGATGGAAGGGCTGAGGG